AGGATTAAAAAAGAAAAAGAAAAGCTCCACTGCTCCACACCATGGTGCTACGCTTGGCCATGTTACTTTTAAAGCAAAAGTGGTAATGTATCTTCTCAGAGCCATCTCTTCCTTCCTCTGCCATAAGAACAGCAGTGTCCCAAAAAGGACATCTAAACCTTCAGTGTAGATCCCGGAGTCAAGGTGACACAGAGCAGAGTCACGGTCAATCAACCACTCATATAACCAACAAGAAATCCACCTTTGTTTTTGTTAGTACAGCACATCCTTTTAAAAGCTAATTAAATATAATAAGTTGAGTGTCAATTTAGAGTTAAACTTTAAAACAAAAAAAAATTTAAATTCAGTTTATAGAAATCTGATAAAAAGGGATTATCTGTTGCTTCACTAGCTCATAAACTATTTCACAGCTAGTCCCAATCTGCCTGTTTAACAAATTCTTGGTCCTTGGAGGCAGCACCCCTATACCTGATAAAACCATAGCAGGAACATGGCATTTAGTTTTCACTGGCGTGCAATGTGGGGATTATTGCAGTTCTTTCTAAGGTGCACATTTGCTATGTCTTGGTGAAGGGGAATCATTAATGAGTTAGCATTACGTGTTTCTGTACTAGAACCCTCCTTGTCTAACCACCTCGAATACCTTCATGTTGTTTCTACCATTAGTTACAACAAAGTATGTCACAACAAACAGTCTCTTGGACCAAGTTTAACTGAACTAAACAAGTTGCGAGATCAACAACAGAACATTTCAAAATGTTGGACATCAGGCAGCACTGCCAGGTAGAGCACTGCTGGCAGTGAGGTTTTCTTCTATGTGTATGTGATGGTTGTTCAGGAATATTTTGCCTTGAGCACAGAACCAGAGAGTTGCACAGCTGTTCTGAGGTGACTGAAGTCAGATACACATGCATCTTACCCATGCTCATTCAAGGACTGTGCTGAGAAAGAACTGATACCAGTTATATTCTTATTGTGAGAAGAACTTCTGCGTGAGACATAGTCATCAGTCAGATCAGGAATGTGAAGAACCGGAATTCCCTAAGCCTTGTATGGCTGCCACTCAGAAACTTGTTAAAGACATTGATTCCAAGACAGCAAGTAAATGATGGAAGGGTGCAAAAAATAATGCAACAGTTGCAAAGGTAGCACTGATGAAATGAAAGATGCATGCTCATGGAGACCAGTCATTGTCACAGACAGAAAGAATCTACTTGCAGGTTTTCTTACCCAAGGAGAGCAAAGAGAAGAGCAAACCCATATTCTTCTACCATCAATGGAACACTGGGAAGGTCATTGACTTTGCAGCGACTTTAGCCAGTCTCAGAAATGACAGTAACAGATCCACAGCCAAGAAGTTAAGGTTGTGTCACATGACTTTGAGAGAAGCCTTACCCTTGGCCCAGGCACTGGAAGCCTGTATGGCGGAGGAGGACTGTTTTTATACAATGACAGGAATGCTCCTGGGATATCTTAGGGAGGAAGAATTTCTAAAGAAGGTTGACTCTTCTAATCGTCATTCAAGGAGCCAACCCAGGAATCACGAGCAAGATGCTGTGTGAAGTTCAGTTTCTTTTACTACAAGTTCCTAGACCTTTGAAGTGCTAAATACAGAATTACTTGAGTCTCCTGTTAACTAGCAGGTTTGAAAGCAAACAGTTGCCACAGTTACTTTTTGTGAATCTCTGACTTACTCCTAATGGTGTCTTTCTGCCCTGCCTCATATCTCCCTAGCTTCCTTCTTTCCTCCTGACTCCCTGCTTTAGCTCACACAGTCCCCTGGCTGAGTTCAGCCTTCTCTGTTCTAAGGATGGTTGCCTTTGTTCCGCTGCAGCCCTCTGGCCGGGCTGCATTTTTAACCTTTTCACAAGGAATACGCCTATCTCTGTGACCTCATTCAGTTGCTTTTATCTCCAATTCTGAAATCTTCATTCTCCTCATTTTTTCAGTTCCTGTAGTTTGGAGTCCTCACTGAATTTGGTGCCCACCTTTGTCAGCAGGGTTTGCCAGCGGGCCTTTGCTCATACAGCCCCATCTCCAGTGTGTCTGTTGGTACCTTGGAGTTCTTTCATTTTTTCCCTGACTGTGAAATCCATCTAAACTTGTAAGGCTGTGTTGTCACCTTCCTTGCCATCCTCTGCAGTCTGTTTCACCCCCCCATATCTCATATCGTAATGCATTTTCGGGGGGCCTTCATTGGTAGAATATCAGTTCCAGAAGGGCAAGTTCCATGTTTCATTCGTCTTCGTATATTCGCAGTCATCACTTGGGTCGTGATTGTTATTTATTACATGCTTCCTCTGCCCCTCTTTCGGCTCTGAATAATCCACCATTTGCATTCTGTGTCACTGTTGGGTAGTTGAGTACTCTTACTGAGAGTGCCCCCCCCCCTTTTCCAAATCTTGTCATTTCAGGCAATCTTATTTGCACCTGATTATAAACAGGTGGGTGACTGAAACCCTACTTAGTTATTCAAGTCAGAAAGTTGTCTTCCCCCATATTTAAATCATTACCAGGTTTTCTCCTGAGTAACTTGGATTCCTTTTCTCTCCCATCACCAATGGTAGAACTGTCTGGAGACTGTACTGCAATCCAGTGTACCCTGGCCTCACCTTGCGCTTCTGTACTTCCACCTGCCCTGCTGCTCCTTCACTGCAGTCAGCTGGCCTTTCCAAGGTGGAAACCTCCCCTCTCCTCTCCTTTTACTTAAAATACTCAGTGGCTTTCCACTGCTATTAGAGAAATTAAAGCAAAACTCCTTAATGTGACACCTTTGCACCATCTGACAGAGAAATGTTCTAATCTTTTGAAGATACAGGTATGGTTTTAATAGTTTGAGAAGAAAATGTTCTAGCAGAGGACACTTATTTAGACTCAAAGTGGGGACTCTGTAGTATGAATGAGACATCTGGAAATATAGGTTGTCCTCACAATTGAACATGATTGGTTCCCAGAGCCTGCAACTGAAGATAAGGCAGAAGGATTTACTTCGCATTTGCCCCATTCCTTTTTCCTCTTGCTGGCAGAGGAACCCCTCATGTGAATAAAGGTGGCACAAGAGGCAACAATCCAGACTTTTGCAGTGTTTAAGGTGGGAATCATGGTGTAAAAGTGTGTAGGGGGAAATACTTTGATTTGTACATTTTATTGTGTATTGTACTGTTTGTACTTTTAGTGTTGAATATATATTTTACTTTTTCGGATTTGTCATTTTCAGTTGTTTATTTTTGCCTGTAATGTAATGATGAAAATTTAGGGTATATTATTATTATTATTACTCCAGAGCATGGATCTCATAGATTAAAAACTAGCTTGTTATATAGTATACCTAATTCTTTCACATTTCTATTAGACGGCTGCTCTCTAGGAGTAGAGAATGTTTGTAAATAAAAATATCTTAAAAGTTGTAGTAAGTAAAACTTTATAGTACTTTGAATGAAATGTTTTAAGGATTTAATCATGCAGACCAATGAGCACCCTTCAGCAAATGTCAACAGTGTAAATATGTATTATTTCTTTTGCTGATTGTTTGCTGGGGATTAAAACACAAGTGATCGTTTCCAGGCTGGCTAGATTAGTGATTTTAATATGAAACCATTGCTTTTAGAATAATCATGGGCCAGACTGGGAAGAAGTCTGAGAAGGGACCAGTTTGTTGGCGGAAGCGCGTGAAATCAGAGTACATGCGGCTGCGGCAGCTCAAGAGATTCAGGCGAGCCGACGAAGTAAAGGTATCACTTTGTCTTTTGTGAAAATGCATGTACAATTGAAGATAGCTTTTTTTCTCCCTAAAGATAAGTTTTAACTTGAAAGGATACATTTTCAGTCAAGGCCATATTTACATTATGATAAATGAAGACTTGGAAGCTCAGATCCTCGATCTGCCTTAACATAAAAATTGTACCACACAAAGTGATAATGGAAAGACATTCAGCCTACTTGGAATTCACTGTCTTTTTTGTATACCTTTGCATTGCACATGTAGGCTCGGGACCCAAATATACAGGGTTTCATGGTTTTATGTTTCTGAAGTCATTGCGATTTTTTAAAATACAAAGTTAAAACAGAGGATGGAAATAATTTCCTGTTCCCCTCCCATTCGCAATAAAATAATAGGTGTGGTGTTTTTGTATTATTTAAATGTGGGAAACCACAGTTTATTGTAAAATCTATATGCGTTAGAGGGAATGTTCCTGATATTTCTGAGAAATCACTAGATTTTAACCCGCAGTAGAGATATTACAAATGTTCTAACAATGAACTGTTTCTTTTCTCCTCTCCTTCATTTTTTTAAAGAGTATGTTTAGTTCCAATCGTCAGAAAATTTTGGAAAGAACCGAAATCTTAAACCAAGAATGGAAACAGCGAAGGATACAACCTGTGCACATCCTGACTTCTGTGAGCTCATTGCGCGGGACCAGGGAGGTTGGTTAACTCACGCGCTGCAGTAATTATCAGTGCATTCTGGTCTTGCTGTTGGGATTTTGGTTGGTTATTGAGAGGAAGTCACTGACTTCAGGATGTCCGTCTTTTTATTGCCATTTCTTTTTCATATGTAACTGTTAATGGCTGCCTTAGGTAACACTAATACCTATAACAGAGCTCTAGTGTTTAACATACTTTCGCTGTTACTGTGCAGATCCCTAGGTTTTTATAAGACTGTTGGTTAAAAAGTCTTTTAAATTAAACACTCTTTGATGTCCTCATCAGATCACTGTTTAAGCAAGGCTTTCTGGCTCAGGTATCCCCCGCCCCATTAACATGAATTAGCCATGCTGTGAGAAACGTCTCCTTTTCATTCATATTCATAGACTAAGGAAGTTTACCGTGTGTTTAAGTTCTGAGACGCTATAAGAATTTTAAATTCAGTGTTGAGAACTTGGAATTTCCTATTCTATAGCATTTCTGAATGAGTGAGAGTTAATTACTCCAAGAAAGCCTATTTTCAAAGGAAGGCAGTAAGTCTGTGGTAGATTTTATGATTCAGTAACACAGGAAAACAAGTGGCAACAAGATGAAAGAAAATGCGGAAACTTCAACAGTATAGAACCAGTCAGCAGGGTTTCTGTTAAAGCATTTCTGTTTAAGTGCCTGTTTCATGTAGGAAGACGCATAGGCTATGGGATGTATCTGAGTAGGCCTCTAGCAGAGAGGGAAGAAAGTGATTGGAAACTTCAGTTACCCTAAGCACTGGAATTGTTTACCTGAGCATCTGTTTAACTCAGTGATTTTCAACCGGTATGCCGCAAGAATTTTTTAAACATGCAGTACCTGACTAGTCAGGGGCACTGGCCTCTTGTCCCTTAGATTGTCAAATAAAAAAATGACAACAGTCAACACAACAGTAGCCGTCTGGTGTGAATGAATCAAAATTATACCCTTTTTTGGGTCAGATTGGCAGAAATATACTTTTTGGTGTGCCGAGAACTTTTAGTAATTAGTTTATGTGCGGTAAGATGGAAAAGGTTGAAAACAGCTGATGTACCTGTCAGGGCACATGCCCCGGTTTTGAGCTTGATCCCCAGCAGGGGGTGTGCAGGAGGCAGCCGATCAGTGACTCATCATTGATGTTTCTATCTCTCCCTTTCCCTTCCTCTCTCTGAAATCAATAAAGATATTAAAAAAAGAAAATAACTGATCTAAACAGTGAGATTTGTTCTAAAATATGTTTCCATGACTAGCCATTTTAAAAATATTTTTTAAATTGATTTTAGAGAGAGAAACATTGATGTGAGAGATCCTGCAACCCCCTACTGGGGATTAAGCCGGAAACCTGGGCATGTGTCCTGACTGGGAATCAAATCAGCGACCTTTTGGTGTATGGGAGAAACTCAGCCAACTGGGCCACACTGGTCAGGGCAACGAGTAGCCATTGATAATCAAGCACTGCTTTGCTATTGTGTGAGACCTGTGACACTGGCTTCAAAGGTGTGTCAGCACTGTTACTGCATGCAGCCCAGTGTGTGCTACAGACACCATCCTAGTGATGACCTCTGCCGGTGCTGTGGTCTCAGTGCTGAAGCCTGACTTGGGGTGGTTCTTAGCCATTTATGCATTTTGTCAGGTGACTACTCTTTAAAGCTCTGACCTGCAGTTGTCTGAATATGTATGGTATGCTGCTGACTCTCTGCACTGTCTGAGACCGGTCAGGGCCTACATGTTGGAGGGGAGGACTTATTAATCTACGAAGGGTGAGAGGGGTTGTTTCTATGCCAGTCAGACCGTTTTTGAGGGAGTTAAGCATGGGGCTTTTAAGTAAGTCTTAAAAGTTTTGTCTGGTGACCTTTTAGAAATTTTGAGGTGAAGGAAAAAGAAACCTCTTTTTTTCCCCCTTCCTGGAGGAATAAAGCTTACAAGTTTGGAGAAATAAAGTAGAAACACATGCAATACTTATTTTTGCCACCCATTACAAATCTCAAAATGCTATCAAAAAACCCAATTTACATTAACACTAAAAGTTAACAGCAATAACGATTTCTGGTACTATGCGAGGTACTCTGCACACGTTATTTCATTGAATCATGGTGGTTGTATTGTCCTTTCTTCCCCAGGTGAGGAAACTGAGCCTTAGAAGAGCTAAGTCAGTTTGCTTGCTCTAATGATCTGATGTGGGCCCTGAAGAGTACACTTTGCTCAGACACATTAAAAAATTAGTAAAGTTCATTATTTATGTACAACTTTAGTTGCTCATAATATAATTTTTGGTGTTAAACTTAAGAGTATATTCAAATGAATATTTACTAATTGGAAATGTCTTAATTTTGTCAAATGAAGATAAACATCATTGCATATAAAGATATCGTGAGTTTATGTGAGAAATTGTGAGAAGAAATTAGCATTTTAGTAAAATTGTTTTCTAAACTTAGTACCCCTTGCAGATTGAGAAGCACCATTTCCACAAAATAGGAGAGTAAAAGGAGGGAAGTAACCCCAGCCTCAGGAATTCAGATTGTGTTGTGTGAACTCTGGCCTGGTAGGGTGCTGGTGTTCGGGCTGCTCTTGATAACTCATCTGCTTCAGATGGTGCATCTCTTACTCCCCCATCTCCACCCCTTTCAGACCATCATCCCTGACTTTTGGAAACTGAAGGCTTATACAGTTTTCAGTAAGCTTTTTGGTGGTATCACAATAAGTAATAAAATCTTAGGGCTGGAAAGACTAATGATCTCTGCCTTACTTTTCAGATGAGAATATATCTGTTACCTTTTTCTTCAGTTTGAGCCTTTCCAGCTATATATTGATTTCTGTTATATGTTCTGAAGTTTGGAGTTTGAAGTAGGTTAGAAGCAGGATAAATAAGAGTTGGCCTGTTCTGCAGACTTTCCTGGTAGTAGGCTTGACAGGGGTTTGGGCTGCAGTGTTGATCCAAACACCTAGTTTGTGCTTTTACCATTTGGAAGTGCTCTTGTAACATTGCTTTAATGAGCTGCTCATCTTTTTAAGCTCGTCTTTTGTAAGGTCCGTCTTCAGTTTAAATCCTTTGCAGCGTGACGATGATTCAATGACAATTTTTAGTTTTTTAGGTGTCTTCTATTTTCTCTTCTTTTAAGTGATTTCATTGAAGTTACTGTAGTCAGGAATGTCGGACAAGTGTGCTTTCCAATCTAACGAGGCGATTGCTGTAGGGCTGGCGTCCCATCAGGGAGCTCTGTCGTGTGCTGTTTTCTTAATGTATTTTATTATTTTAATCCTCACCCAAGGAGTGAGGGTATTTTTACATTGATTTTTTTTTTTTTTTATGAGCGAGTGGAAGAGAGGGGGAGAAGAGAGAGAGGAGAGAGAAAGAGAAACATTGCTGTGATAGAGACAGGTCAGTTTGTTGCCTCCCGCACTTTCCCAGACTTGGGGCTGGGTTGGACCTGTAGCCATGCGCGTGCCCTTGACCTGGAACTGAACCCACAACCCGTCTGCAGGCTGACGCTCTAACCACTGAGCCACACCAGCCAGAGCCTTTTATGTGTTCTTAAACACTTTTTGGTACCTGTTTTTTGGTGTTGAGGTTATAGAACCTTAACCAGTGTTACCTGTAGAATTTTAATACAGAATATGTGTCTATTTTTGTATTTCCTTAAAAAAATATTTTTAACTCCTTGAGGACGGTGACTGTAATATATATTTTACATTTATTTCTTTTGTTCTTCTGTTGATCTTTTTAAGGGGCTTAAAATGTCATTACCTACAAGCCAAGGGATGTATGCCTTATTGCTGTAATGTGTGGCTGTTCATCAGATGTTTCCGGGTGACTGTCACCCTTTGTCTCCAGAAGTCTGCATGATGGTAGTCAGATTCTTCAGTGTGGCTGCTCTTCCAGGTTTCATGAAGAAGCTGGTTTAAGAATTACTATTGTAGTTTTGCTAGGGCATTTCTTATTGTACATTTGTCCATTTCTTGATTAAAAACCACAAGGCACTTTCCTCTTCATGATTCTTCACATCAAGCTTTTATTACCTATACGTATTATGACTGAAAGAGCTTGCTCAGATGATGTCTGTCTTCTGGGCAAGTGGTATGATGGGTTTTATAATTTAAAAATCCTGCCAATATGCATTTTTAGATTTCCAGGAGAATATAATGTTCTTGTAAAGAAATCTGTGTCTTGTTTACTAATGAAAAGAGTGATAATTTTTTATGTATGTTGAAACATGGGGCTTCTTCATAATGCTTGACAGCATCGGAGAGGCCTCCTAGTGCTCATATTCATGAAGAATTAAATGTCACTAGGAAGAGCAAATATGCAGGTTTGCTCTTCCTAGTGATGTCTGAAAGAATTTTAAGTTTATCACCTATCATTTGCTATTTGTAAATTTTTTTATATGTTTTATTGATTTTTAGAGGGAGAGGAAGGGAGAGGGATAGTGAGATAGAAACATCAATGAGAGAGAAACATCATAGATCGGCTGCTCCCTACTGGGGATCAAGCCTGCAACCTGGGCCTGACCCTGAATGGAACTGTGACCTCTTGGTTCCTAGGTCAACCACTGAGACACACTGGCTGGGTGTAAGTTTTTTTTTTTGAGAGACTTCTATCAAAATAACATAGAATGTGTAAGTTCTTTCATATGTTTGCAATTTGGACTTATTTTTGGTGAAGGGGAAGAAAAACATTGTGTTTACATATAAACATTAGATTGCATCATTTATTGACTTGGTAATGCACTTTCCTAGGTTAATTGTAAATACATTTAGTTGCTATTTACAAAGAAAAAATAATATGTTAGTGTACCCAATGTATACTATAGTGCTCTTTACTTAAACAGTCTTAACTTTTAACACACTAACATGCTTTCTTTCCTTTGTAAATTGCAGGATTACTGGACCAACAGGTCTAGAGTCTCCTGAGTCCTTTGAGCAGATATGGGAGGGAGTGAGGTCTCTTTTCTCATGTCTTAGAAATAAACTGATGGCTCTTCCAAGTGTCTGCTTTG